CTCTTGAGGTGCCCAATTCTGAACTGTATTGAGAGTGGGGGTCATAATAMTGCAGACTACTACTAAAAATGCAAATTTCGTCCTCATCTCCAACTATCTGAGGGGCTTTGTCGTCTAGTTTTTTTTTTTCTTTTGAAATTTCAGTTCTTTAGCAAAGATTCTCCAGACTTCCTTGATCGTTCATTTCTACACTTATTGTTTTAAAGATCAAGATAGATTCTGTGGAAGCGTTATAGAATGCTCCAAAAATGCGCAGGTCTGCTCCATGGGCGTATTTCTTATATTAAAGAGTCCTTTCGATATTAAATACATATCAGTGTATGTAGTGTAGACTCTAACGATGTACGTTTTGCATATGATTGTCAAATATTCTTTCTAACGTTTTCAGTAGGAAGGAAGTAAAGTTTATAGGTCCAAACTCTTTCTCCTATTAATCAACAARTAATAATAATTAAGCCGAATCTTTATGGTTATGCCACACTTGACCTCTAAATATTTGAGGACTGAAAAAACACATTTTACGTATTTTAATACAAATCTTTGTTATTGTTTTCAAAGAGGCGACTGAGCCAATATAAACATCCGAATGTCCATTCCCTTGTTATAAGCATCGTCTGGGATGACCTTCCCTGCCTTTAGCGGATTTGSTTTTTTTCGGTTTCGACACATTTTTTGAGCGCCACTCACTAGACTGTTTGACAGCATCTCTTTTGCGACTTCTACTTTTTGCAAAAGATTCCGGTCTCTTGGTACGAGTCTAGCATTGACACGCTTTACACTCAAAGCATTAACCAATCCCTAAGAGATGTCAAGATCCTCTGCCATCTCTCTGATGCCAACACGACGATTTTCAAGCACTGTTTCTTCAACTTTTTCGATGTTATTAATAAAGTTGGATGGAGGGCTAACATTWGGAAAGTTTTCGATGGCTTAACGACATTCGCTGAATGCTTTGYGGCACTTAGTAAATGTCCCAACACATTTATGCAACATTTTGAACGMTTTCGTGGTCGTGATTCTACTCGGAATAGAAAATTATAAGCAAACTTATAGTTTAACTTTTCCCTTGAAAAAACGGTAAAGTTTTCGAGTAGTGAGCAAACAGCTGTCAAACACACACTAATTCACAGATCGAGATTAAACTTCCCATGAACATAAAGAACAGAATCAATCTAAGAAAAAAACAATTTCTATCGATTCGGTTTGCAGTTTAAGGGGGTATTCTAGTCTAAAGGCTCGCATTTCGAGCTTTTTTCAACAATTACTAAAAAAGAAGCACTAGATATTTTTACTATCCGTTTTTTAACATTTGTTTATTAAACTTAAAAGAGTACACAAAGTAAACTTCAAAAAAAAAWWYTTTTCCAAAAAGAGGCCGTGTCCTCATCGCCCTTGCCGTCATCTGAAAAATGACGGATTCTTAATGAGTACGAATGTCGCTGTCATGAAGCAGCAAAACTAAAAAAAAAATTTTATAAAATGGCGGCTACTCAAAAAAAGGTCGATTTTTTTTTAGTAATTTTCAATTTTGTCGATTTTTTTTAAATATAAATTTCAAATTTTTATTTTTTGTTGCTTCTAGTGATGAGATACATACATATATTTAAAGAATATTCATGCTAAATTTTAAATAAATCGACTGATTAGAACTTGAGATATTGTGGCTCCCACATCAAAAAAGGAGTTTGGAGAAAAACGCGTTTAAAGTTTTACGTTAAGTTTCGGGCAGCGTAAAAGATAGATAGACAGTTCGCTCAACTGGTCTAGTTGCCACGTCACAAAAATGGCTATAACTTTGAAAATAATTTGAGTTTTGAAAAATCCTTTTGGGGAGATATTTTTGAATATCAAATCTATCAAATTATGAAAAAAAAATCGATTTTTTTTTCAAATTTCGAGAATAGAATACCCCCTTAAAATAACCTGTCCGGGACCAATTTGATCAGATGATATATAAGTATTTATATTTACCTACCATATATTATATAATACATCTACGTTAATTGTGCAATATACATATATGTACATAGATATGTAAATAATCAAATTTAATCTAGTTTACAAGTTCTGTACCTTCTGGCTTCGTTTATGACTTTGCGCAAAAATTGTGGCGTGCGGGCGAAATTCTGTAAATTCTCCATTTTCGCTGAACACTACTGCAGATTTTGTATTAGATTTGATGGGTGTTGGCAAAGCARAAATTTTCAATGTGCATTTTTTCACTTTATCACTCAATTCAACACGGATGGAAGTGTTTTTTCAATCGATTTAAAATATTTCACTTTACATACATACTTCCACTTAGTGATTTTTGCGCTACCGTTCTATCAATATAATTTTGAAAATATAAACTAAGTGCTTAAAAATGGTTGAAGACTTTGTGGAAGACTCGAGCAAAAATTATACGTGTATGTATGTATTTATTGCTTGCACAATAGCACACAGCCCGACACTGATTCACGGTCCATCAACTGCTTGTGTTTAGTCTCGACCATAAGCCCATTCAAATATGCATGTTATGTACATACATATGAATTCGGCTGGACTGCAACTCGGACCATAATAACAATAACAATGACTGGAACGATGTTTGCGTAAACATTCTTTTTGTCGCAATCTCTTCGCTGTTCGTCTTTGAAATTTCACATTTTCTTTTCCAATTCTTACGAAGAAATCAATAATTAGAAACTATGGCGATTCACATGTAAAATAAAAATAAAAGTGCATTCGCGCACAAGAAACATACAATATTGATAAATATTCAGTGAAATATTTGGTGTCTCATTTATATAGATTGTATATAAGAACAAAGCAAATTTATGCACGGCAAAAAATATTAGGTACTTATTTTTTACAAACTAAAATGCTTTTGATCGTTTTCCACACACTCTATGTTTTCACTAAGTATTGTTTTAACTACATTGGCACAAAACATAAACGCGATTTATTATTCCGATTCAACCGTCCGTTGTCTCTTGCATTGAAAAAATGACTGTCTCGCGTTGGTTGCCTGTTTCGCGTAGCTACTTCKCTGTCCACTGTGTTCATTTGCTCGCCAACAAATGTGAGAGATTGCAAGGAAATATAAGTGGTGCGATGCCACCATTCCTTTCCGGGGCAATAGCTGCGGTACCATGCTCACACAGATACTTATATCAATGTACATTTATGTACGATGAAATATAGGTAGCCTTGTATGTACATGTAGTTTATTTGTATATTATTGTCGCTAAAGCCACTYCACATGTTCGACGATGCGTGTGTCGACAAAGAGTCAACCTAAGTCTGTATGTACATATGTACACAAACATCAACGCCAACGTAGAATGTAATGTTTCTGATTATGTTCCACAAACTATTTACATTCATAAAAGATTTAGGAGGCGGCGGTTGGTGCAGTATGGTGATAGTCTAACTTATTATGGTTTGGCAATGGCGTAACGCGGTGGTGTTGGTGGTGAGCGCGATGAGTGCGGTGAATGTGTTTTGCTCTCATGAGTGCTGGCATACTTCTGTGGAGCTTATGAGCTACAGAGCGGCGAATGTCTGCAACTCAACGGCATCCGAAGGAAACATATCAAAGAAACAAAACACATCCGAACAAAGTGTTACTACAATTTTGTGTGTCAGGCATTTGGGAAATTTCTCAATTCGTTCACCAAAAATTTACCCAGTTGTAAAATACTTTATATTATGATGGAAACTAGTCGTATGAGATATATTATGACTCAGGCTGCTAATTCTATTAGCTTCATGTACATTGGTTCTAGGGACATTTGGGAGGCAGTAGAAATGATTCAAATGAAGGTTTCTTTCACGAGTCTTTTGTGAGAATTACAGCTAACATCGCTCTTAAGGAAATTAGTATTCCGCAAACTAGATTAGTTGTTTCGTGTGACCAAGTCGAACGCATTTCAAACAACTGTATTGTTTTGCTGGGTGATCTATAGAATTGTAAATACGGATAAATATGCACTAGTGTGTTTATTTAACACCGCTTCAACCTTTTATGGCATTTTTTCTTGTTTCCATTATACTCTTACATTTTCCAGTCCTTTTGCATTCTTGTTGCACAAGTTGTTATTGTTTTTGTTTGCTTTCATCTTTTGTTACCTTTTCTAGAGCAAAATGATTCAGAATATTACATACATATATGCGTGTATAAGTACATACATATATACATACACTTAGGAGCGAAATTTTAGTTGCATCTCCTTGAATTCAATTGCTGATAGCGGGATCGCACTCAAATACTTATTTACAAGAAAAATTCACATATACAGATAAAAGAGTCCCGAGCTTGACTTCTACAGACCATCGAGAAATGTTTTTTAAATCTTCTCAAAATTGCTCAAAGTTTTGAACACAATTCTAAGATCAACAGAAAATTTTAAAATATACACAGCTAATGTTATGTAAGGCAAAGACATACTTTAATTGACATAATAGATTGTCAAAAAAGTCTTGCGGTATTTTTATTGAATTTTCAATTGTTCATATAATTTCTTTTGACGACTCATGCCCAGCTCTTGACCGATGCTACGGCTGCTACTATGCCGGTCTCTTTMGATCAATTCTTCGATTTTATCTCAATTTTCGACGACAGGTCTTCCGGAGCGTGGCACATCTTCGATCACCTCTACCCCACAACGAAAATGTTGAAATCGTCGTTGTGCGGTGGAAATGGAAACTGTATCGGGTCCATAAACTGCACAGATTTTGTTGGCGGCTTGAGATGCATTTTTGCCTTTATCGTAGTAGTACTGTATAATATGCCGTATTTTCTCTTTATTTTGCTCCATGTTTGTGACGCTATAACTCACGAAAGACTTAAAAGAAACGACAGAAAGGTATAGCATGACGCGATGCGACGAATAAAACTAGAACTACGCGATCTCAGCGCCAACTAGCGAAAATACCTCAAAACTTTTTTGACAACCTAATATAAAGATCAAACCTCACACGAATAAAAAAAGGTTACACAAATCAAACCAGAAATGTTTATCAACTTCGATTTGTATTTTATATGCACCAAGTCAAATTTTATTTTGAGTATAAACTAATCCTCAGCCAACAAAGGATAATATTTAAATCAAAAAGCAATGTAAGAATGTATATATACAAGCCGAATCTGGCCCAGAAAACTAGTACTGATAGTTTGGAATGTTGTAAAAGGATATTTCCAAACTAAAATCTCAAACAATAATAAATAGCCCCTGTTGGGCTGACCTTTACATCGTAAGMAAATTTCTATTTAGAGGGCAATACCCCTGCAGACGGTATGTGGATTTTTATAAGATACATTCATGCAGTTTAAACGCTAAAATACCTTTTCTAAATAAAAATAATTATATTCCATATAATAACTTTAACTTTAAACTCATATACATAGGTATACAGCCAATATTCCTTTAGGCAAATTTATTAATTTTATTGAATTATTAATTAATGTTCCGCACTTGACAATCAAGGCACAAATGGCATGGCTGGAATGTAGCGCAACTCCTTTGCAGTGACACTTTGGGGGTTAGCTAAATCCTTCATTATTCCTTGTAAACGAGAGACGACGTCACTACGTTGTACATCACCGCGATCGATCATACGCTTGAAAAGCGTATACAGTTGACGCTCCGCCGAAGCACTGGATAAATCGTGTAAGTCCCTTAACAATTCTTCCGAATAGCCCTCGTATTTGCTGAGGTTAGCGGCTTTTGCATCGCGTTTTAGCAAATCATAAACCAATAAAAATTCTACGTATGGTTTGGTTGGCGGTACACGTTTTTTACCTGCAGTCGACGTGGTTGACCAACGATCCACAGCATTGTCGCTATCGAATGCGGCTCGTCCGTAGTTGTCATCGTAAAGGCGCAAAAAGTTATCCAAAGACTCTACATCATTGGTAAATTCATCATGTTCTGCCTCTGTTTGTATATCGCGTATCAGTGCCAATGTCAATTTGTCGAAACCTTCAGTGTTATCACCAATTTCGTCAAATACCTCATAACCGACGAGTTTTTCAGTTTGCGGCTTGATTAGTGGCGATTTTATGGGTGCATACAAACCGGGTCTGTGTGTGGGTGTKGGCGGCACTGTAGGTTTTGTAGTAGCTGCTGTTGTAGGATGCCACCAAATAGGCGGTTTCCACCAGCCAGAACCCGTGGTACTAACACCTTGTGACGGTCTGCTGGTAGTGCTGAACCAAGTTGGTCGGCTAGTTGTTGAGAGCCAGGTAGATGGATGCTTATTTGTGGATAACGTAATGGTTGTTGTACGCATTGGTAGCGGTGTGGACGTAGGTGAAGCATTAAATATATTAGTTAATTCATCATCGTTCACTCTAAACGGTGGTTCGACAGTGGTCGATGATATTGGCTCGTACTGCAAATAGTCGATATAGTAAGCGAGCGCTTGCATGGAAGCTGGCAAATAACTGGTGAGTAGATGTGGCGCAGCCCAAGTGCATGGCAAAATAACGTAGCTGACTAAAAGTAGGCACAACATCTGACTGATAATTGACTTTTCCGAATACACTTGTTGCATACTTAGTTACATAAATTAACCCCTTTAGTGTTACTCGGTAGTTTCATTCTATGACTGACATTTTAAATGACTGACAATTTAGTACGACGAAGAAAAAAATATTTAAGGCTTCAAATTTTAAATGTTCGATTGTAATCTTATTAAATTATGACGCGTCCGAAAAGTTAAAAGTACGAGTATTCGAAAGCAGTTTACCAAGCAGACTGAGCTCTGATTTTGCCGTTTGACGCACGAACAGAGGTAAAATGCGTCGCTCAAGTTCAAAACCTCTTTTGTCACTACAACTACTTGTATTAAGGTGAATGTTTAAATATTCACACACACTTATAAATCTGTATGGAGTATAATTTCGTGGAAGTTAGGCGCAGATGAGAAAGGTGAATTTTTGATAATCGCTTTGTTCTTGTGTACTGATTCTCTTAGAAAGTCTGCAAAAGGCTACTACAATCAGCGTATTGACTGACCAAACCAGTTAATACGTATGTTTTAAAGTTTATTTTAAATTGAAAGTTTTAAGGGCCCTTTTGTGTGTTTTACGACATGGATATTAATCGCATACTCAGTTACATAGAATTTATTAATACATATTGTAGTAATAACTTTCAAAATTATATATCGTTACCTACTTTTGTCAATGGATTAAAATTGCATCATTCGAGGAAACGCACTGCCGGTAAATATTTATAAAACTTTATATTTTTCGGTCATTTGGTGATTCAAATTATCATATTATCAATTCAGATTAAAAATACTCTTTTATGTCTTCATATTTGCGAATGTAAACATATGTATATGTAGATTCAAGTATGTTTGGATATTGAGAAACTTGCCAGCATCACAAAGGAAAATAAAAAACACAAAAGCATAAACATCAACAACAAATTTTGAATATTCATAAGAAACAAAATAAAAAAATTATTATTTAATGGATATCATTAATGAGGCGGGCATATAAGATTTAATATACAATATACATATGTATGTATGTATRTAAAATTCTGAATTCCAATAGAAAATAAAAATATTAATGCGGAAAAATTATGATGAMTTTATGGTACACAACTCAGGAAAAGCTAATGAAGGTAACTCACACTGGCGAAAGTTTGCTAGATTAACGAAAATTATTATATTAAATGTAATTTACCAACAGATTTTACATATTTTTGGAATTACACCTCTTATTTACCGATATATGCTGCATTAAGTTAACCGGAAGTTCAAATGTCTCTATAATAATATGAAAGCAAGGAGAAGTATTGGCCTGATTTTACTTACTTTTGACGCAAAGGAATTTTGTAATCGGTCAAAGGATTCTCTTCATATTTCGATAATATTTTCGGTAAAAAGTCAGTGTTGTTGTTGTTGTTGTTGTTGTAACGGCAGAATTCTGTCGAGTTGACAGTCCTTGGCCGGTTAAAAATCCGGGTCCGTTCCGGTTTTCGTAGACCCGACTGTCGTGGGAACGGGTAAWTTATAAAAAGTCAGTCATATGCAATGGTAGACATAAGAGGTATATACAAATATAGAGACTAAAAAGTGTGGTCCGATTTCCACGCTTTCTAGATCTGAGATGAAATATATTTTTAAAAAATATTCATGCAAAGTTGTATTTCGATAACGTCATTGACAGGGCTCTAAAATGCTGAATTTCATTTGATACCAAGGAACATCTGTACCAAGATTCATCAAGATATCTTAACAGATCGTCTCAATGTGAAATTTTCGAAAAATCGGTTTTTGTTTTGTTGCATTATCTGCTAGTATACACTGTAATAAACATTCTCTCAAATTTTGAAATTGTATCCTTGTATAAAGGGAACAGAGTAGGGAACGCGACTGCTGTTTTAAAAAACGGTTTCCGCTTTCAAAGGAAGAGTTTTGAAGATATCTAGTTCCAATTTCTTCTTCCTAATTGACGTAGACACCGCTTGCGCGATTATAGCCGAGTTAACAACATCGCGCCAGTCGTTTCTTCTTTTTGTTACGTGGCACCAATTGGATATTCCAAGCGTAGCCAGGTCCTTCTCCACCTGGTCTTTAGAACGGAGTGGAGGTCTTCCTCTCCTCTGCTTCTCCCGGCGGGTACAGCATCGAATACTTTCAGAGCTGGAGTGTGTTTTCGTCCATTCGGACAATATGACCTAGCCAGTGTAGCCGCTG